GATAAAGCTGACCTTCCAGTTAGTGGAGAAGCCGCTCTACCTCCTGAGCCCCAGCTGAGTAACAAAAATGACCACGCAGGACCATCGTGGTGCAGTACAGAGACAAAGTACACACAAAGATAACTTTTAAAAAAGTCCTTGACTGAATATTTAGAAGCTAACTGAGGAACAATTTTATTTTCTCTCTTTTTTACGAGTTGAAGGATTGGGTGTGTCGTTACTGAAAGTGGATGTTTTATAGGTTTGGTATTTAACTGTGTGACAACCTCGCTTCTATCCCTCACACATTTTGGACTAAAATAAAAGGAAAATAGCTTTTTGATGTGTCAGTCGGAATTATTTTTTACATTTTAAAAGATGCACATTTCTGATAGCATAAAGAAAGAGTAATCACTGACAGTGCATTAGATCTGGTGCATATATCAGTGCACAGGGTGCAGCCGTGCAGAGGTTTACACTGTCCTCTCACAGTCAGGAGGTTTTTCTTTGGAACATCCTGGCGAGCCGGGGCCTTTCTGCATGGTTTGCATTTTCTGCCTGTCCCTGCGTGGATTCTCTCCGGACTTCCTCCCTCAATCCGGAGACATGCGTGCCAGGTTAAATGTTTCTAAACCGTGAGTGTGGGTGAGTGTGCGAAGGACTGGTGACCTGTCCGGGGTGTGACAGCTGGGAAAGGATCCAGCTCTCTCTATGATTGAAAGGTGGATAAGCGGTTAAAGAAACAGAGAGATGCATTATATCCACTGCATGTGTTTTATAACGAAGTGAAGAAAATACAAAGAAACAGGATGTGAGCCCTGTTGTGCACCATTTTTGATATATTTATCTTCCTGTATAGAAAAACATCCGAGGAATCATAGATCCACCTCTCCATCTTTGGATGGAAAGATTTTTAGGCGTTTTCATAAACATTAATAAAAAAATCGTTCTTTTTTTTTTTCTTTTCTATTGCTCAGACATCGTGTTTTTACCGAGTCCGCTTTTTGGCACATTTAAGCGGCACATAAACTTCTAATGAACTTTCATCACTGACCATGATGTGGCCTCATGTGGACAGCCATTAGAGGAAGTTTGTGTGCCAGCAAGCGATAAATAATAATGCAGTAAAACTCAGCTGTATTGCTATAAAATGTCTTCATCAATGGCTTTCAAACGGTTTATGGGTGTAACTGTCGCCAGTACGAAAACATCAAGACCATAAAACAATGTTTCTGTCGTTCTTTCTTAACTACATGACTACTGTCAATTTATATTAAATCCATTTGTATAAGCTTTATTATTGTTGTCACAATAAATACATAAATTAATAAATACGTAAATAAATAAATAACGTTTTGAGTTCAAATCACCCTACTGTAGTTGAGCCTGCAGCGCCCCCTGGTGTGGAGGCATTTTAATGCAGTGCAGAAAGTGCTACTGTAGCTTTGTTATTATCAATAAAAATATAAAATATAATCCAAACTTCCTCTATTTCCTTTTTTCTGTGCATGAACATCAGGAATCGGAGCCATGAGACATTTTAAAATAATTTATCAGAGGTTTAACTTTAAAAATATTTATTCACTGTCCTCTGATGTCATTTAAATGAACGCATTTAATATTTGTATTTTACTACATGTGTCTGCCTCAACTTTTGCTCTGTGAGGTTTATACACAAAGTTATTGCGCTTTAGAGATGTGTAAAGATATGGATCGTTAGCTTTGGCTGCTGCTGAAGAACCCACACATTTGAAAATCTATCTGAAAATATTTGCTGCCAAAAACAATCATGTTTGAGGTCAGACTCGTGGGGAAAGCACTTCTCCACATTTAATACAGTCCACATTTGTCAGTTTGGGACATATTGCTTCAGGCTAGAATTTTTAATTAGCTGTCAACAAAAACAATAAACACACCTGCAGGATATTGTTTTAATGGCTAAAAGCAAGAAGAATATCACACGTGAGCAGAATAATGTGCCATAATTACCCAAGCAGGATAACAGCTCACAGCAGCCTGTTGGGCTGAAGCTGTTTTTCTCTGGAATAATCAGCTCCTTCACTCCATGCATGATGCATGATGAGTGCAAAACAGTGTTTTAGTGCCTGAGCTGCACACTGTTGCATACAGTTTATTCTTTTCCTGCACATTATTATGAAATTCCTGTGTCACTGAATATGATGTAGAGGAGGAATGAAGCTATCATTAATAGAGTGAAGTAAATATGGGAAGTTATATAAACATATAAGTAAATAAGAATTCTCATTAATTATGAGTAATAGGTTTTTGTTTGTTTGTTTGTTTGTTTAGACCAATAGTTTATCTTATAAATGATAAAGAAAAGAAAGAACTTGGATCAAAAAGAAATAAGGAAAACAGCAATTTCTACATTTTATTAAGGTTTTCCTCATTGTTATTTTAATTGGATCACAAGCAGTTTTTTTCAAGGCCTCCAAATGTGATTAAGAGGAAATCTGAAGTAAGACTGTAGCTAAACATCAGTTTGATTATTTCCTAAACTATAAATTCAGTCATTTCTGAAATGACTGATTTCTTGAATAAACGTGAGTGCAAGCCAAACACTAAATAGCGCCAAACACTTGTATAAAACCAAATATCATATTGTTTTTATTTATTACTCTTATTATTTCACACCCTTCAGCCTCTCCAGCCACAAGACATAGCCAAGTCCACACCCACCCACACCCCACCTTGTGTGAAAAAGAGGTGAGGCAACTCCTCAGGAGACAGAAGATCACGATGTTACCAGGCTGTGCTGATCAGCTGCCTCCCGTCTTCACACTGATCTTCGACAGATCCCTGGAGCTGTGTGAAGTCCCTGCTGTTTCAAACAAACCACAATTATCCCAGTCCCCAAGGAACCCTCTATCACTGGGTTAATGACTACAGGCCTGTGCCCCTCACGTCTGTAGTCATGAAATCCTTTGAGAGATTGATGTTGACCTACCTGCAACACATCACATGTCCCCTGCTCCACTCCTTTAGTTTACCTACTGGTCAAACAGTTCAGTGGATGATGGTGTCAACATAGGAGTGCACCTCAACACTGCAACACCTCGACTGCACTGTCACATGTCCTGGAGTCCTCCGCTCCAAACTCACTCGGCTCATTGTCCCAGCCTCCGTCTGTCAGTGGATCACAAACTTTCTGAATGACGGGAAGCAGCAGGTGAGACTGGGGAGAATCACATTTCAGGACTGTGTCCTCCCTCCTCGTCTCTTCTATTCAGTTTAATTCGTTGTTATTTCTACAGCAACAAATCACAACAAGATTTGCCTTTAAAATGCTTTATATTGTAAAGTAAAGGCCCAACAATAATACAAAGAAAACTGAGAAAACCCCAACAATCATATGACCCCCTACGAGCAATCGCTTTGGTGATAGTGGGAAGGAAAAACTCACTTTTAACAGGAAGAAACCTCGAGCAGGACCAGGCTCAGGGAGGGGCGGGGCCATCTGCTGCGACTAGTTGGGGTGAGAGAAGGAAGACAGGATAAAGACATGCTGTGGAAGAGAGACAGAGATTAATAACAAGTATGATTCACTGCAGAGAGGTCTGTTAACACATCGCAAGAAAGGTGACTGAAGGAGAAACACCCAGTGCATCATGGGAATCTCCCAGCAGCCTCCCAGCAGCATAAGGAAGGATTCCCTTAGTTACGCTGCAATAAGTCTTCTCCCTCTACACAAATGATGACATCTTAGACCCATCTGTCAAAATTGTTAAGTTTCCAGATAGCAACCTGAAGTGGCCACCAGTATGGACACTATCATCAAAAGGAGAGGATTCACTTCCTGCTGCAGCTCAGGAGATGTTGATCCAGTTTTACTCTGCAATAATCCAGTCTGTTCTCTGCTCATCCATCGGTGTACGGTTTGGATCAGCCAGCAAACAGAAAAAGAGCAGACGACAACAGACAGTCAGGACTGCAGAAGAACCATTGCTCCTGACTTACCCTCGATTCACGATTTGTACAAAGCCAGAGCAAAGAAACTAGCAGACAACATCACTGCAGACCCATCACAACCTGGACACAACCTGTTCCAACTCTTCCCTCCGGTAGGCGCTACAGAGTACTGTACACCAAAACAAGCAGACATCTGTGCAGTTTCTTTCTGCAGGACATCTCTCTGACGAACACTTAAATCAGTCACACAGTGTCTGAACTTAAAAACTTCCACTATATCAAGTAGATATAGTGGAAGTCCATTATAGAAACATACATTATTTTAGACATATTTTATATGAAAAAATCTAAAGTTAGTCAGATGTTGGTGTGTTCACTTTTTCCATTTAAGAAAGTTTTTGTTCAGTATTTAATGAGTTTGAATTACTGTTATTTATTTATGGTTATTTCCTCGTGTGTTCCTTGGTCGACTGTTTAGATTAAAATGTTTCCCTCTTTGGGCTGTACACATCTGAACCTATATTTAAAATCCAAAATGAAAACATCATAAAAACGATATTTTACGCTTGAATGTACATATAGTTGAGTCATAAATAGGCTGCACACAAAATAATGTCTTGCTCATGTTGTAAGTAAAGCAGGAAAAAGTCGAATATATTATTATATGTTATCATTGCATATTATTATTGCTATTACTACGACATAATAGTAATGATATAATATGAAATATAAAAATACATGTGCATGACTGTTGACAGATAAATAGCCTACAGATACAGTCTACTTGGTAACACAGCTATGCTATTTATAAATATCAGCCAACAACAGCACTTTTGAACATTTCAAAATCAGTGTCGCTTAAAATTATTTTCTTATTTTCTAGGCAACTTTTTTATTGGCTTCGTATGTGTATATTTCGTATTCTATAGATTAAAGGGTTAAATATAAATGAAATGAAATCTTTTATTTTTTGCTATTACTGTAATTCCACATTACCGATAGTAACCCTCCCCAACTGTCGTCCTTTGTCGGGGAGCGACGGTGTCTATCTTGACCGAACCCAGTTTCTCTTTGATCAATATTGTCGTCTCGCGAGAACTTCGATGTCACGTGGATTATGGCTGAAGATCGCGGATATTAGAAGGTACTTTTCTGCTTTTATTTACTTTGTTGTGGGGTAAAATCGCGCATTTACGCAATTTGTTTATTGCAGCTCGAGACGTATGTGCATTAGCCGTCGCTAAAATAAGCATGTGCAGCTTTTTGTGGCCGCTTACGTCGGCACCGCCGGTACAAACCTTCGAAATAAGAGCACAATGTTTTGCGCGCTTTTTACCACTACGAAAACAGTTAGCTTCTGCTTCGTGAATGATCCGCTGTGGTTAAACACCCGTGGGCCTTGCTCTCCTGTTTGGAGGCTTCTACTACACCCAAAGTGCAGATAAGTCTGCGAAGAGACCTAAACGGCGAGCAGGAGTAAATTGAACCCAACGGCGACACCGCCGTTAGCTTTAGCCACAGCCCGAGGCCTGCTCAGGAAGCGGGCGGGAGCTTTTATTTTCCAAAACTGCTTCTTCATCTTACCTGCCAAGGCTGTAGATTCAGATCATTATACCTGTTCACAAGCTTTTATTATTTATGTTAGACGTCCACAAGTCCGTGTTTGGATTTTGAGCTGTTAATTAGACAATTAATATGCACCGCGGTTCGTTCTCACACTCTTTGTCATTAACAGGAGAGAAATCTACAAACCGAGAGCAAAGAGGAGGCGAAGCTGTGACTCTTCAGCAGCTCTGACACACTACTCACAGTAAGTTTTCACTCTGTTATCAAGTTTTAGAAATCCACGAGAAATCTGTGCTTTTATGTGCATTGACGTTTTTTTGTGATATGATTTAAATTTTGTGCAATTATTAACAATATTAGAAACATTACACTGGATTTCCAGCAGGTGAGTCATTAATATAAACCTGTAGGGGAGGTTTATTACGTTTATGAGGTGTTTGAGGCTCTTTGTGATGTGTTTAGTCGTTTTAGAATAATTCGAGGCCTCACACAGGTAGATATTAAATTAAAGCTTATTTATAAAAGTGCTTTTCACAGACAAGCAGTCACAAAATACTGTACACAAAAAACTAGGAATAAATACATTACTATATAATTGAAATTTAACATTAAAATGAATCAAAGTCTACTGGGAGCTTCTGTAAAGAGTATAAAATAGAAATAACTTGCTTAATAGAACTCGTTAATAGTCTGGTCATTGGTTTTTGGTTTTTGTTTAATTATTTATTTTTGTTGTTGTTGTATAGCTCAGATGTATCTAAGCCAGTAAACAGGACGTTACTGTAATCTAAAAAACACTGATTAATTTTCTCCAGTTCAGCCAAGGAGACTGTTTTTTTGTTACAATGTAGACATGTTCCTTATATAAAAGAAACTCTCAGGTAGAATTTGGTTAGTCTGATTTATCTCAAGAACAGTGCTGATTATTACTGATCAGAGGAGCTAATGTGTGTGTGAATGGGTGGATGATTGTGTATAGTGTAAAGCGCTTTACACTATACACAATACAGACCATTTACTGACCACGTAAGATCCTCAGATGTACACCGAGGAAGCGGAAGCTGCTCACTCTCTCCAGAGCAGCGCCGTTGATGGTGATGGAGGTGTGTACTTCTCTGCACCTCCGGAAGTCCACTATCAACTCCTTTGTTTTTGCAACGTTGAGGGTGAGATGGTTGTCTGTTGATGTTGGAGCTGTTAGTGGCCGTGCAGTCATGGGTGTAGAGTGAGTACAGGAGAGGGCTCAGTACACACCCCTGTGGAGCACCAGTGTTCAGTGTGATGGCGGATGAGGTGATGCTGCCCAGTCTGACCACTTGGCGTCTGTCAGACAAGAAGTTAAGGATCCAGCTGCAGAGGGAGCTGCTCAGTCCTAGATCCTGCAGTTTCCTGTCCAGCTTCGAGGCAACGATGGTATTGAATGCTGAGCTGTACTCTACAAACAGCATTCTCACATACGTGTCTCTCTTCTCCAGGTGTGACAGGGCAGTATGTAGTGTCAGGGCTATGGCATCATCAGTGGACCTGTTGTGGCGGTATGCGAACTGTAGATGGTCCAGTGAGTCGGGTAGTGCAGAGCAAACGAAGTCCCTGACCAGCTTCTCAAAGCATTTGCTCACGATGGGGGTCAGGGCTACAGGTCGCCAGTCGTGGAGATGGTGGAGGATTTGGGTACAGGGACGTTGGTGGCCATTTTGAAGCAGGCTGGGACGACAGACAGAGAGAGGGAGAGGTTGAAGATGTGTGTAAACACTCCAGCCAGCTGAGCCGCGCGTGACTTGAGGACGCGGCCGGGAATCCCGTCCGGACCAGTAGCTTTGCGTGCGTTCACCTTCCTGAAGCGCTTCCGCACATCCTCCTCAGACACAGTGTGCGCACTGATGTCATCCGCGGTGCGCAAATGTAACAGGGTCATAAATCACATTGTTATAATTACACAAAATGTGTTCTAAACCCCCAAACTGCTCCTTTTATACCTGACTTTTAGGACCTCCAAGCCTGTAGTTATGTTCATTATCAGTTAGAGCCCCTCCTCATTCTTTTCTTCTTCTTCTTTGGTGCAACCCTATAAATACAGTGTACCCCTTTTTCCTCTCCCCTTTTCTACAATTCCCCTGTGGGAGAGGTGGGTGTCATTTCTTTCCCAACACTGTAAAACACACATATAATTCATATTTAGCCACCTGGATGTTTCTGATTGTGATTTTAGTTCAATTATTGTCATTATTAAGCCTGTTTTTTGTTAGATGTTACAAGTGTGTAGTATGTGTGTATCATAAATGGGTTTTAGGCGCCATAAATGCTAGCATATATATATACTTCTTGCTAGCTTGGAAGTTGTGGTGGGTTGAGCTAACCCTCTTCCCCACTGTTTGTATTTGGTTGTAGGAGCTGGAGTGGGCAAATTATTTACTTGGAGGTCTTTCTTTCTTTTACCTTTTTTATCAGACACAACGCAGAATCACACCGGTTACACACACTGTCCGGTTTCATGGTGTTCGCTGTGTCCAATCTAGCGTAGAATACCTATGTCCTCTGGAGTAGAAGGATCTGATGTTTTTGAAGACTGAAAGCTTTTTTCTTTCCCCAGTGAGCATAAATGTGATATTATTAGAAGTGTGTGTGGGGGGGGGTTCTAGCTTTTTTTTTTCCCTGTATGCTATGAATGGATGAGCTAATATAACATCTAGCCTTACTGAAGTCGTCCCTTGATGTTCTCGGGTGTATGAGAACAATTCAAGGCCTCAAACAGGTAGTAAATACTATTCAGTCGATCTCTAAGGTCTAATAATTCAAACAACACTGGTTGCATTTACAAGCAACAGCTTTCCCCCGCTTTGGCCTGTTTGATGGGTATTTAAGACACAGAAGCCACACCCACCGTACCAAGGCTCGCTTCATGTAAAGCTATAAAATAATTGGGCTTTTCATGGTTGACTCCACAAGTTTAGTCCATTTTGAGTGTTTATAATAATTTAGTAAAAATGCCTCAATCACCAAAATTAGTTTTTGAAAGAATCTGTTATATTATATAAAAACAGGTTATTTTCCTTGGACTCGGTTAAAGCTATTTTTGGTGGACTGTGCGGAAAAAGACTCTGGATAAAAGTGTAGCTGCAGTAACTTGTTTACATCGCTCCTGGAGCTCAGTGGCTCAAACACAGGAGAAACGTCTCCCATCATGCAAAGTTGTATTTTCCCGTTGCTAATGCGTCAGTGATGAGGATCCCCTCGCCTGTTTTCCAGCAGCAGTGATGGCGCATGTCTTCAACCATGGGAAGCTGCTCCTGCAGCGCCTGCACCAGCAGCGGGAGATGGACTTTCTGTGTGACATCACCATAATGGTGAAGGACGTGGAGTTCAGGGCTCACCGTAACATCCTCGCTGCGTTCAGCGAGTATTTCTCCTCCCATGCTGAAAAGGGGGAAGAGATCACGACTTTGGACCCCGACAAGGTCAGCCGGTACTCGCTGGAGAAGCTCCTGGAGTTCGTCTACACGGGACACATGAACCTCAGCAGGTAAGCGTGCGGGTTTAGAAGCTAGCATCAGCCAAAACACGGATAGCATTTACGCAGGGTCATCCTGTACAGTTCTACATCTGTATACACAACAACCTGAGTGTTCAACATATGAACAGGATGACAGCAAAGTAGACTGGGATGTGACGAAGCCAACGTCAGATACATACAAGTTATGGAAAGTAAATGTTAGTGAGACATCTTTGCTTTGTGCCTCTACCTGATTTACTGATGGCTAAAATGTGCTTATTATTAGTTGTTGTTGTGGCTCACATGAGCTCATTAAGGTTTTGTTTTTTTGTAATTAAGAAAGCTAGCTAAGTAGTTTTTCAGACAGTACAGGGTTAAAGTTAGCACACAAGATACAGTTAGCCTGCTAGCTGCGTGAATAAGTTCTCGGTTGTTTTGCGGCGTTGAAGGCTTCTTCATCGCTGCAAATCAAGATGGCGGCTTCATAGTATGGTGGCTTACCTGTTCGCCAACAAGCCAAAGATCTCAGGAGGACACAAAAAACTATTTATGAAAGGTCTGCAAAATCAAACGTGTGGTGCTACACGCTGTGGAGATCTCTTTTGAATCAAGGACTGAAAGTAGCTTCTTCAAGACAGGATGTTGCTTTGTTAGCTAGGAGAGTTTTGCTAAGTGAGACGTTTGCAGTTTGGTCATTTGAGCAGAGATCCTAGTTTGCTTATGTTGACTGTAGTTTATTCCTGCAGTCACTCCTTTTGACCGTATGTGTTAGCTAACGTTAGCTCACCTGCTTGGATTAAGCGCAGCACTGAGTTTGAGTTTCTCCTTGAGCCAGTTGTTTGATGATGTTGGTGATAAGTGGAGTCCAGTGAGGGGCATCGGCACAGGAAGCGATCCGTTCGTCATCGGTTTGTTGCTGATGGTTGGTCAGCTGTTTCAGGCTGTCGTTGCTGAGTAGCACTCTGCTGCATTATCGCCTTGTCCCACGTCAGGTGTCCGTACTCACTCTCATCAGTTATTGTTTCAACCAGTTGCCTCGAAATTGACTGATTTTTCACTCCAGACTGACTTTTTGTGGTCACTGGTTGCCATGGCACTGTCAGATGCTTGTTCTGCGGACGCCCCTTTAAGGTATTCATACCTGACGTTTGGCTAGCTCTGTTGGGTGGTGCTGTTGCCATAACAACAACAAGCAATAACTCAAAAGGCGAGTGTTGCAACTCCAGGCCTGCAGGGCCGGTGTCCTGCAGGTTTTAGATGGGTCCTTGATGCCACACAGCTGATTTAAATCCTCCTCAACATGTCTTAAGGTTCTTTAGAGCTCTGATAATGAACTAATTATTTGACTCAGGGGTGTTGACCCTGCAGGACACCGGCCCTCCAGGCCTGGAGTTGCCCACCGATTATTCTCTGGAGTGATCAACTTCTCCAACATTTTAGTGACTTACTGCACAAGCAGCCACTTTAGTTTCTAAGGATATGTTTTTAGCGTGATTTCATTGGTTAATGCTGCAGTCAGTCCACATGATGTTAGATTATGAGAAGGTCATAGGCGTGGGACACGTGTGAACTGAATTTTGAGTTGGTACTTTGAGTAAAATGTTTTTCTTTCTGGTTCCAGCACCCGACAAGCGGCCGTACGGCGAGCCGCCATCTTCTTAGGAATGACCGAGGCCACGAAATATCTGGAGGAGTTCCCTCACTGGTCTGAGCTCGGCGAAACGTCACAGTCGGAGGCAGATAAAGAGACGGGTCTCTCGCCTCCCAGCCCCGCCTCCCCAAGCAGCCCCAACTCCCCAGTCCCACTATCCATAGTGTCTGTTGCGGGGGAATGGCAGGAGGAAGGTAAGGTCAGCAGAGAGCAGGAGGATGAGGGCAGAGATATGTTTGTGGAAGACGATGAAGAGTACACCCCAAGCACGCCAAGAAGCACCGGGAGAGTAGGGGGCAGGAAGAGAGGTAGAAAGCCTAAAAGTTTTGGCGACGAGCAGATGGAGGCGAGCAGCTCGGCTGACGGCACGCCCAAAATCTACAGCTACAGAGGGAGAGGGCGAGGGAGAGGCAGGGGCAGAGGCAGGGGGAGAGGAAGAGGAAGAGGGAGCTTAAAGAGTCAAGAACTCTATTTGGATGACTCTGATACGAGCGTGAAGGACTTTGGAGACACCTCAGCAGACTGGAGCCCCTCGCAGGGGGAAGAAGATGAGGAGGAGCCTGGGATGAAGAGGCCGAGGCTGAGCACCGGAGAGGGGAGGAGAGGGCGAGGCCGCGGGAGAGGGAGAGGCCGCGGGAGAGGCAGGGGCCGAAACAGGGGACAGACCGACGACGAGGAGGAGGAGGAGGCGGGGGATGACAGCATTGGCGGAGGCACGGAGGAGGAGGAGGCGGGGGAGGGAGTGGAAGAGGGCGAGATCGGGGAGATGGATGCGCTGGCTCTGGGCGAGATGTCGCTGTCGTGCACAGAGTGCAACAAACTGTTCAAAGACGTGAGCAGCCTGCGGCGCCACGAGAAGATCCACAAGGGGCTGAAGCCGTTCGCTTGCATCTTCTGCTCCAAAACCTTCAGGCAGGCCACGCAGCTGAAAACACACCTGCGCATACACACAGGTGAGCTCAGCACTGAGTGTCACGTGGTTTTGTTTCTGGGTTTGTGAAGACGTGAGGCTGCTACACACATTTTCATTTATAATTAAGTGTGTAAAGACAAGAAAATCCACCTGCGAGGTTCTTAGTCAGAATCAAACTTCGGTTACTTTGATTTGAATCTCATTAACTTTAACCTCTAATCAGCAAACGGTTTTTTGTTTTTTTGCAAAATAAAACAAAACCTCAGTCACTGCTTTCAGACACCATTAAAATTTTAAAAGAAAAACTTTTGACCCGTTCAGGCCTTTACAGTCGAAACTCCTGATGAGTTTCTGGGCTCAGATGCTACTGTGTAGTCTTACTTCCAACAGAGTCGTGTTTATAGTTTTAAAAACAGGACTTCTTCCATCATTTATATACAGTCTGTAACAGGGTTTTAATAGCTTTGCAATTTTCATTAGTTTT